AGGCGGCGGACCCTCCACCTTGCTTCGCCTCGGCCTGTCATAGAGGATGACAACGAGCCAGCCAGGGGGACAGGCCCTCGACCTGACCAACTCGCTCCTCCCTTCTTCAGCACCACCACCACCAACACCACCAACACCACCATCGCCGCTGCCTGCCTGTCTCCGTCCTGTTGCGATTGCCCCCTCGCAGTGAAGGAGTCCAACTGCTCTGCGGCCGCAGCGCCAACGGAGCCCTTCCGAACCAATCGCCTCGACCGAGCCGGCACCGCCCGCCTCAAGCTTGCCCAGATCATAGCCTAGCCGAGCCCGCGCGCGCAAACGACTGTCAGCCAAGCTAGACCAGACCACCACTACTCACCATACATACTCGGCCTAGCGCCGCTCCCACGCCAAGCTCAGGCTCTCGGGACGCTCCGCAGAGGCAGCCTAGGCAGCCGAGTCACAGCTAGCATGTCGGAGCAGCCGCGGCGTCGGCCGTCCCAGCAAACGCTGTCGGCAAGGAGCCGATCGTCGTCGGAATCCCCGCAGCGCCGGAGGCAGCAGCCGCGCGAGCAGAAGCGTCAGGACGGTCGACGACAAGGCAAGGATCGCAACAACGACGACGACGACGAGGACGACGATGACAGGGTCAGGTCTGGCCAGCATGGGACCGGCGCAGATCGAGCGCAGCAGCGTCGTTCGGTGGCATCGCAGCGCCCGTCGGCGGGAGACCGGCGCGCGTCGAGCTCGCGCTACTCGGTGGGCTCCACGACCTCGTACGGCCTCTCGGCCGATGACGATGGCGACGACAACGAGTCGGCCGCCGCGCCGGCCCAGACCATCCGCGACGTCTCGCAGGCGTTCCGCGCAGGGCGGCCGAGCCCCTACCACATGGCCGTCGTGACGCTCATCGGCAGCCTGGCCAGCGGCATGCCGCTCGCCAGCATGTTCAAGGTCTACACGTTCGTAATGTGCGAGGTCTACGACCCGCGCATCCGCGACAAGACGGCGGCGGGCGGGGCCTCGTGGCTCTCGTGGTTCTCCTGGTCGTCCTCCTGGCTGCAGCCGATGGCGTGGGGGCCGAGAGCGGCGCCGTACTCGACGCTGGTCAAGCTGCTGCAGGCGCCCGAGCTGCCCAACCCGCCCGAGTGCGCGCTGCCGTGGGTGCAAAAGTCGACGTCGACCTACTCGGCCGCCATGGTGACGGTGGGCGCGCTCCTCGGCCTCATGATCCTCTCGCGCGCCTCGGGCCTCTCGCGCCGCTTTGGCCGCAAGCCCCTCCTGCTCCTCACCCACCTCTTCCTCGCCCTGGCGCTCCTCGTCTTCCGCCTGGCCGTGCTGCTGCCCCCCTATGCCGCCGCCGTTGTCCTCTACTGCGCCGTCGTCCTCTCCGAGGCGTCGGCCGGCGCGCCGCTCCGCATCGCGCTGCAGAACTACGTCGTCGACACCACCACCGAGTCGCAGCGCGCCGGCGCCCTCAGCTTCATCGAGGGCTTTGGCCAGATTGGCGCCTTCCCCTCGAGCGCCCTCGGCGGCCTGCTGGCCAGCCTGTCGGGCGAGTTCTTCGCGCCCTTCTACGCCAACATCGCCCTGATGGTCGTCGCCTTTGTCTACATCCTCGTCCTCGTCCCCGAGAGCAAGCGCAAGCACGAGCACACGCTCATCGACAGCTGGACCCAGGCAGACGACGTCGAGGGCGGCCGGGCCGATAGCCTCGACGCAGGCAGCGAGGGCGAAGAAGACGGCGAGGGAGAAGCAGGCGGACAGCAGGCCGATCCGGGCGACGCTGATGGCAGTCGAAGGCGGACGTCAACAGCAGTCGGCCGCGGCGATGGCGACGGCGACACTGAGGCTGACGCCGATGCTGCGGACGCCGATGACCACCCGTCCGCCTTCAGCGAGTCGGCGAGGACATGGTCGACGTCGCACGCCGCCACCGACGAGTCAAAGTTCAAGTGGCGCTCCAAGCTGCGCGCGCTCAACTTCCTGCGGCCGCTCTCGATCTTCAAGCCCACGGTGCGCCATTATTCGGACGTCACTGCCCACGACGCGCTCGCCGCCCCGCCCTCCTCGGACTCGCGCGGCGACGATGCCGGCAACGGCAAGGCGGCGCCCTCGACGGCCATCGGCCGGATCCAGAAGCGCGTCGACTTCCGCCTGCTCAACCTCGCGCTCGTCGTCGTGTTCGAGGAGACCTACCAGTGCTTCCTGGTGCCGCTGCTGCTGCTCTACAACGGCCAGAAGTTTGGCTTCGACGTGCTCCAGAACGGCTACCTGGTCAGCGTGCTGCAGAGCGTCCGCGCCCTCTTCCTCACCGCCATCTTCCCGCCCGCCATGGCGCTGGCGCGCCGCTACGTGGCCAGGCGCGGGCTGGCCAGGCGCAAGGAGAAGCTGCGCAGGATGCGCGCCGAGGCCAAGCAGCAGCGGCGTCGGCGGCAGCAGACCGGGCAGGGCGCCGGTAGAGGCGCAGCGTCTGGCGAGAGCGCGCGCGGTCGAGATGGCGGCGGCGACGAGGAGCGCCGCCCGCTCGTCCGATCGCGCGATTCAATGGGCAGACCTGCCAGCGGCGGCGAGCCGACTGCAGCCGAGAGCAGGTATGGCACCATGACGTCGCGCGATTACGGCCTCACCGAGCGGAGAGGCGGCGATGGCGATGGCGACGGCGATGGCGATGGCGGATCGGCGGCAGCCGCCACGGCGACGTCGGGGGCAACTGACTCGGCGACGGCAACGGCGACGACGCCCGACGAGGCGAGGACCGGGCGTCGACGGCCGTCGTACCACGCGGCCGCCTCGCTCGGGGGCCTATCGAGGCTGCGGCGGAGCGCGTCGCAGACGACGGCGGAGCGGCGGCGGCGGCTGTCGTACCAGTCGCGCGCGGCCATCGAGTCGAACTGGGAGACGCACTCGATCTTCACGCGTGCGCCGTCGGAGCTCATCAAAAAGATCCAGCGCGGCAAGCTCGACATTGGCGTCATGCTCGCCTCGTACCTGTTGGCATGCATCGCGTTCGTCGTCCTCGCCAGCTCGACGTACGCGCCAGGCCCACCGCCGCGCCCTCCTCCCCCCATCCCGCCGCTGCTTGCGGACATCGCGAGCGCGGCCACGGCCGGAGTTGCGGTCGAGGCTGGATCCGGGTCCGGGGCAGGTGCACTGTTCTGGAAGTCGCCCTGGATCCCGCTGACGCTGGGCGTGGTGCTGCTGCAGGTAGCCTCGGGCTCGACGTCGCTGCGCACCGCGCTCGTCGTCAACGCCGTGGCCGAAGACGACCAGACAAAGGCGCTCGCGGCGCACCAGATCCTCGTGACGAGCGTCAACGCCTTTATGCCCCTCGCCACGTCGGCCGTGTACGGCATCGCCCTCGAGCGCGGCCGGCCCGAACTCGTCTGGCTCTTCAAGGCCCTCTTTGCCGCCCTCGCCCTCGTCGGTGCCTGTGGCCTTTTTTGGAGTCATCGTGGCTTTTATGAAAAGGCGCATGATGATGCGGAGGAGGAGGAGGAGGAGGGGGTGGAGAGTAGCAGCGATGACGAGGAGGAGCACGAGGAACACGGACATCGACGTCAGGGCGTGCCTGGTGCATCTCGAGGCGGTTCTGAGGCTGCGAGTGGATCGGCGGCCAAGATGGGACATAGACGGCAAGATGCGCCCGGATCGTCGTAGAAGGCCGTAAGCCGCCGCCGCTGATGGCGATAGAAATGCCGCCCTGATCACTGTCGTCAGACTGAAAGCACATTGAGAGGGGGTTGGGCGAGGGCCGAGGAGGGCCTGTGGATGAGATTCGCTTGCCTATCGGCGAGGGCGCCTAGGATCGGATGAAACCTGAGCTGGCTCGCTTCGACCAGCCTCGACTCAGCCGGCACGACCGAGTCGCATGGCGTCGAGGATGAGGATCCACATGCTCAAGTACCCGAGCGCGGCGATGGGCACAATATTGCGACGCATCGCCACGTCCCAGTGGAACTCGCGGCGTCGACTGCGTGGGGGAGGCGCGCGCGGCAGGATGGTGCGCTTGGTCG